AGATCTGCAGGGAAGGTATTAGGATGAAGGCTGGAAAATAAAGACCTGCAGTAAATACCACACTAATGATTGAAATGTGCTACAAAAAAGGCAGTACGAGGACAAGGACAAAGGGCAGAGATGAAGAGCCCCATCCCCAGTCGGCCCGTCAAGATGATTAACACTCCAGGGCACAACATGGGAGTGGCTGTGAACCACTGTGATTAAGGTGAAGGTGACAGAAGGATGAGGACAGAAACTGTGTTTATGGAAATCCATTACTGCTGGGTGTCTCCGCAACTTAAAGGGGCCAAACCGTAATTTGTCCTGCTCCTAGTAAAACGCCATCTTGTGGTGAGTATATGTGTGTGAAGGTCACTGGGTTCCGAAAAACAAAAATCCCATAGAAAATTGTGGATCCTAAAGGCATAAGGATTCCACCCACCCTGTTCTGCCTCAGTGGGCTCACCTCTGTGGTCAGATTTGGATGTTCTGGGTGAGCGGCGGTAATGACAGCCCGTCTTGCTCAAGCTGCCTCATGTGGACAACAATGAATTAAAGGTCTCGAGAGGAATCGATACCAGTGTGACACGTTGCACACAGTTCTGCGAAAATGTTAAGATGTTAAATTCAGGAGCAGCAGGAACGGTTAAGACACCCGATCTGAGCGACTGTGTTCCTGGTCTACCTTTATCGAATGGCCGCGCCCCTGAGATTCTCACACTACATGGTCTAGGTCAGGGCACTTCAAACCTGGACCTCGATTCCAAATCCAGGCCTTGTTTTCAGTTCTCCCAGGTAGTCAGTTTAATAATTACTGATTCTGATTGGTCAGAGGCTTAACACCTGGCTCACAGGTAAAGGAAGGCTGGAAAACCAGCAGTGCTCGGACCTCGAGGACCGTGATTTGAATATTAGGGGTCTAGGTGTTTACAGAGAGTGGTGTGGTGAACGATAAACAGCCGGTCGATGGCATTTCCGTGCCCAAAATCCTTGATAATTAAAGTCAGACTAGTTGGAGCTAACAGGAGTGCAAAAGTAGTGGCTCGGTGTGCAGAATGACTTCACTGAATTCACCGAGCTCATTTCCTCTTGTAGTACTTTTGGCGGCAAAGTGAGGTTTAGATAGCTATAGATAGGCCTAAAGTGGCCACAATGTATCCGACAGTCCAGCTCTGCTGTCACTGTGGTTGAACAGAAGTTAACTACTGCAGCACACACCTGTGTCGAGACTTATTATCACTAATGTGCTTTTATTAGTAGAGAATTGCTGTTATCAAGGGAATTGGGGCTTCTTCATACACACCGCTGATCGGCATACATGTGACCTGCGACTGAAATACAGCATAAGAATGTTGTCACAGAGCTTGGACATCAGTATCTTACATACACATACGTTCACATTTAGTATTGTGTATAATGCAGTTTGGTGTTTTGGTTAAAGGGCATGTAATAAGTCAGGCCTTTAGTATGTGATGTTATTGACATTATTGATAAAACCAGACCTTCAAATGAATTGCTCGCATACACAAAATTGATTTTGTGACTTAATAAATCCAGCGGCTCTCCGAGGCTCGGTAATCACTTTTCCCTCTTTGACGGTCACAAGGAGCCCTTAGAAGTGCTTTGCTGGGAGCATCTGAGGGAAGCTTTCAGGTGTGTTTTCTGTTTTAGCCTTCGTTACTAATGGGAACGTGTGATGCATCATCTGCTTAAATTTAAATGAATGCGAAGGACTTTTAAGAAGCGACTGTTTGTGGAACTGGGAGGTCTGAGATGTTTTAGCCCCCAATAGACTAAACACTTGCATAAAACCAATTCCTGTTTGAATGGTCCTTAATGGTGCTGAATAGCACTGTTGAATTCTGGGTAATATATAAATAACAGAAACTACGCAAGGAATGTTGCAGCAGATGTAGGTCTGTCCACTGGCACAAAAATGGGTTTTCTGCACGGCAAAGTGTCACCATTGGAAAGTAACAGAGCACAGACCTCTGGGTAAGGAGTTTTGACAATGGCTGGTTCAAAGCCAAGAACATCACCAGTGTAATCAAGATGATTTAGGCTTTGGGAAATCTTAATTTGTGAAACACTCTGGAAGGAAGACGCCTGGGATGTGAGAGCCGTAAGTCACGGCACATGTGGAAGCTGCGAGCACTGAGGCACAGTACGTTTTGGGAATGTTGTGGAAGCTGCGAGCACTGAGGCACAGTACGTTTTGGGAGTGTTGTGGAAGCTGCGAGCACTGAGGTACAGTACGTTTTGGGAGTGTTGTGGAAGCTGCGAGCACTGAGGCACAGTACGTTTTGGGAGTGTTGTGGAAGCCGCGAGCACTGAGGTACAGTGCGTTTTGGGAGTGTTGTGGAAGCTGCGAGCACTGAGGCACAGTACGTTTTGGGAGTGTTTACAGAAGCACTGTTGATTGGTTAGAGTCTCTGGTGACTTTCTCATTTCTTCTTTGAAAGATTCTCTGTTTCGCTTTCCTATGTGTTTCCCCTCATTTGTCAGTGTGCTCAGCTCCCCCTCAACCCTACCCTGCCAACTTCACCCTTTCATTTGATGTTGCTGAACTGGGTAGCGTCATAAGTAAGGGGTACAGCACCGGGTCCTTCACAGGATCCCCATTTCCAAGCCCTTCCCAGTGTTCCCCCACCCTCTACCATCTGCGTTATGGTCTCACTGTGAACTTCCTGTTTTACATTTTCAATGACATCATCAGCTGTCGCCGCTCATTTTTCAGTCTCCACTGACATCACTTCCTGCTGAGCCTGACCTACTTCCTGTGCTTCCTCCTCTTCCCCCCTTCCAGTGTAGCAGCGCATTGTGTGACTTTCAGTCTCTCATCAGGATTATAGATTTTCCTGGATGCCCCATTACTAATTCATGCACTGGGTGCGACCTGTTGGAAACCAGAGACGGATCGATAAATGTGACCTTGGTGCATCTCGTTTTGACTGATCGTCTTTGACTAACTTGGCTGGGTGTGGCATGGCGTGGTTTGATCGGTTTGGCCCACCCCCACCTGAGTCATGAACACAATTAAATTTTCAACCAATCAATAAAGACTTGCTCTCCCAATATGAATAGGAAGTATAACAATAAATATTATAGAATATATATTTTTTCCCACATGGATAGAGCTGTGCAGCAAATGGGACCAGAGGTATGTGGGCGATGGTGGTTAGAAATGAATGGAAGAAGTACAATGAGGCACCATATAGCATCTTGATGAATTTTATTGTGATGGGGACTTAAAAAAAAAACAAAAACAAAAACAAACAAAAACAAAAAAAAACAAAAACAAAAAAAAACAAAAACAAAAAAAAACAAACAAACTAAACAAAAATGAAAAAACCTATAAAATGTTTTGCGTGATTAACCAGGGTTTAAAAAAACAAAAAACCAAAACTAAATTATTGTCTTGCCACAGACGTAAGAGTAAATAAATTGGCACAAATAAAAAAAGAGACGGTCGATCAAGTTTTGGATTTGTAACAGAACAGCGGGGTGTAAATCCATAAATACGACAGCAAAGACTCATTCTGTTAGTCACACGGTTAGTTCTCAGTTCAGTAGCATCGTATTTTAACGGGGAGAGTAAAGATATCTTTGTTATTTCTTCCAATTACTAGCCTCATTTCTAGATTAGTCAGAGTTATGTTAACATATAATACTTAAAAACAAACAGGGGATCCTTCCTCTATGCATGACTTCATACCTTCCAAATTACTTTTTATACTAAAATATATTACTGTATTAATACAAGCTACAGTTTTATACACTACACAGTGTAATAAATAACCAGAATGAAATATAAAAAATAAGACATAAATATAAAAGTTTTCTATAACTAATAAGGTACTTATAATGAAAGTGATACTCATACGGTCTTTGTTGAAAACACACTACACATAATTATTATTTTTTTTTTTTAGTTTTGTTTTTTTCATTATTATTTTTTTGCATGAAATCCAAACTGAGGAAACAGTAATACTGACAAGTAATACCTGCTGATGCCCCCTAGAGGCCGGGCGCGGGCCTGATGACGCCCGCTAGCAGAAGTGCAGGTTCGTCCTGCCGTGGTTTCGCCAAGTACAGCGGACGTCCTGGGCAGGTCGAGATTCGTCCACCACCC